ATATATATAATTATTATATTATATATATATATATAATATATATATAATATATATATATATGCGGCCTCGCCAAACTATGGGTGCACAAGAAAAAATCGAAAAAGAACAGGAATGGAATAAAAATGATATGCAAAACTTATTATATGTTTAATAATTTACTATTGAAAATCCCAATATTCTTTTCGGCCAAAAGTTTATTGATTATGGTATCATGATTAGAATTAGATGTATTTATATTAATTAGTTTTGTTTCACAGTGCAAGTAAATAAAATATTTTAATTAGCTATTTAAAAATCTACTGGTTGGCTAGCTGTTACTCAGTCTGTCCATGACGCGTGACGCCGGTGTAAGCATCCGTTCCTTGGCGTTCCTAGCTAAGGCAGCAGGTAGTTTGCATTCGGCAAGTAGTCACCGTTACAGCTTTAACACTTCAGACGACTGGCTTGACGCTGTAGAAGCCCTCAAAGATAAGTATATTTTTGGGGCCTTACTCTGCCGCTTCAGTGGAAACTGTATTAATCTCTATCTTCGCTAGAATTTATTCGTATTCTTATATTTTAAGATCTGGCCCTGCTTATTGCTTCTATTTCCACTGCCTTTGTCCGCATTTCTTCACAAGCATGCTCTGCCTAGTTCCCTTTCCGCTGTTCATGCTGATTATCTCTGTTAATTTTTTCTCTTTAAGATGACGAAGGCCCTGTCGCTACAGTCTGTCCATGACCGTCCCGGCGGTGGTAAGCAGTCGTCGCTTGGCGTTCCTAGCTAAGCAGCAGGTAGTTTCAATTCGGCAGGTTAGTCACCGTTAGCAGCTTTCATCACTCAGCGACTGCTTGGACGGCTTGGTAGAAGCGCTACAAAGATAAGTTATATTTTGGCCTTTACCTCCTGGCCGCTCAGTTTTGAAACTTGTATTAATGCTCCTATCTTCTAGAATTAATTCGTATTCTTATATTTTAAGATCTTGCTCTATTGCTGCTTATTCCACTCCTTGTCCCATTTCTTCACAATAGCATCTCTCCTAGTTTTCCTTTTGCCTCTGTTCATCTGATTTTCTCTGTATAATTTTTTCTCTTAAAGATGACGAAGAAGCAAAAGAATTTCATCTAAGTGCGCAATATTGAATGCGTGAAAGTAAAATTGGCGGCGCAAGTGATGGAGGCACTGGATAAGGCAGTAACATCGCCTACATTCTTAAGCTCTTTGGCATCTGTGCTTCGCACTGCATTAGTTGCGAAAAGCTAACTGAAGATTGCGTAATAATCTTAGCATAAACTTTTAGACTATCTTCAAGGCCAAATACGGATTGCCTGGTAGCGAATATCTTTTCATCGAAGTTGGAGCCTTTTAGAGAAAAAATGTCTGCTTGGCTGTAATAATATTTACCTTCTAAAGACAGGCAGCATAGATATGCTGGAGCGAAACATTGCATCTGCGGATAAATTCCTATGATCACGTTATTGTAATGGTGAACTTTAATATAACTTATTAAAACTTTCTCCTATGCAGAGCTTTTTACCGCGTTTTTTCCACAGGCTATGTGCGGCTCGTAAAATTTTAACCCTCTAGGACCAAACACCAACTGCAAAGATACAGAAACTTGGATCGATCATATTTATAGTGTCTAATGTAAACAAAAGTTGCGAAAAACCGGAGCAATTTTCTAAGTTCGCTGGAATTTCAAAAACACGACCATAATTTATGCTTGGTTTAACAACCTAAAGTGCCCTAAAGTACTCACTCTTAATAATCAAAATACGTGATTTTTCGACACATTTGATAAGGCAAGCAATTTATTATAATGGGTTGGCACTTCGCATGGCGGCCTTGCACACGGAAGGAAGAATTACTGGATGATAAAGGTAACTTTTTCAAAGCTACTTAATAACAAGCATGGGCTCTACGACGCGGCCATGCGCCTTTAAAAATTTCGCGTGTAACTCGTCCTCTGCCCCATGGTAAAACTGCTGAAATTCCGAAATTTTAAATGAAAGATCGTGATGCAGCGTAACGAAATTTTCCGGAAAAACTAATGCGAAAGCTACTTAAGAAACAGTACAAAATGCTTGCAGAATTTAAGTTTAGCGTCAGAATGCCGCAACGCTAAAAATAAAATATTAACCGACCCACCTCGGGGCGAAACCAGCGACTGCGAGAACGATCTGGGAAAAATTTGACATAAATCTAGGTACATGAGGCAAATGTCCTTCCCCCAAATTGAACCAAAGATAATACCCTTAGAATCACTAAATGCACAGGTTTGTCATAAACAGCGTTTCCTTCATTTGACAGTAAGGTTGAAAAAGCAAATTCTTTTGTTTCTCCAACACACAGAAATAAAATCCACCAACGAAGTAAACTTTTCTTTCGTCTGTTGAACATCAGGATATTACATCAAAAATCGTTGCAAAGTCTCAAATCAAATGCTTCAGGTTGCATGGTATAAATGCCAAAGCTGCTAAAAAATAGTTAGATGTGACGTACCCAATTATCACCGGAAATCGTAAATTTCTCAC